ATAAAATATTTAATATTCTTTGCCATTTAATTACAAATTATCTTATGCCTGCAAAATAATTGAAATGACTAAGAAATGTTGGCCATATCTTTGTTGTTAATTTACAACATTTCATCATGAAGTCGGACTGCATCATTCAATTTAACTGTGAAGGTAATGAAAGCATAAATATACTCTCTGGCATCTTTAGCCAACATCCAGTTGGAGTTGAGTGTGGAGTGAAGAAAATATATCCATCGGAACACATTAGCAGCAGCAGCCGGTTTATAAATTGAGTCTTAAGCTTAAAGCAAAGCTGCAACTGGCATTCTGTATGATGCATAAGTTCCCATCAAGCAGCCCACATTAAGATATCTCGTTTCATTCTAATTTCTCTTACTAGACTCTGCTCACCCTGTATTTTGCAATGGCATAGATAAAGCGTAATACTGCGCTTCAACAACTATTGCAGAAACTGTTTAGCTGAAAAGTAGGCAATACCTTTTAGCCATTTATATTTGTTGCTGCATCGTTTGTGTAAAACACAATTTTCAGCGTGAATGGCAAAAACTAATTTAGTCGCCGTAGTCAAAAAGGGGCTGAAGTGGCAATAGGGGAGGTGGGTGTGTGTGGGTGTGTGCATCCCATTGACAAACGTGCAAACGTAAACACATTGCCAACACCAATGACAGGAAATGTTGTTATTTTTGTTGCTGTTGCTGTTGCTGTTGCTGCAGTTGTTGTTCTTTAATTTGCATTGCATTTTGATTTTATGACTACATTGCATGCATCAGCCGCGTTCATTGACCATGAATAACCAGCGGAAATGCAATGCGCGCTGCGGTTGCGTTTCCTATCTGCATCATACACATTCATTTTGATGAATCACGTTGTAGGCTAGCAAAAGGGTCGAAACCTCTCTGTGTGTGTCTGTGTTTGACTCGTTTTAAATTGTGACTAAACGAAAATTGAGTGTCGTTATTGCTGTAGCCGGGAATGTTTCATTGCGTATATTGCGACACCAAAAAAAAGTAGTCTTTGTGCCTTTATTAAGCAAAGTTGGGGAAGGTGGATAAATAATCATTTGTAATCCTGCCTCGCCAAACAAAACGTATTTAAGAAGACACTTAGCTTTGAGCTATGATTAATTCAATTCAACAAGTTGTATGGAAAACTTAATTTGAATTTCTATAAGCTGAGCTATAAATTGGCATAAAAAATGGTAAATTAATTATTATAAAAATAGTAAATAATTTTATATAATAAAATCTAATTAATATAATTTATTATCGGCCAATCAAATTTTTTGAAACTTACTAAATACTTAGTTTTGGCATACTTCAGCAAATACATGTCTTGTGCTGAATTCATAGTGATTTAAAAAATTCTTATATGAATTATTCTTGAAGTACGTTTACACAGATTTAATTCCCTATGACCTAACATCCTAAGATAGCCTTTAGATCAACTTGTTGATTAGAAAAGCAATCTAAAGTCAAGAATAAGTAATATGAACTGATTAAGAAATATTCAAATTTTCTCCTATTCAATTACTCTGCAAAGAACTCCTCACTTTTTAAAATATATTATTTGATTATCATAAACCTGTTCAATATATAAAATGATTACATTTGTTCGCAATTCATTAGCTAATAGGTATTCAAGTGAAAGAAGGTAATGTGTGGCCTAAAGTTTAAAATTTGCGACTTCAATAAGATATCAAAATTCATTGGAATATATATCAATTATAAGATCTGTGAAAGGAATTGCTTCTACTGCTATTTTCTTATGCAGTGTATCCTGTAAATTATAGTATTTCTTAAGCTAAAATAGTTTCATTCAATTATCTGAAGGACTTTATCAATTTCTTTATTGTTAACTATTAAATCATTCATCAATTAAATTTTATTTAGGAAAATATAGCTACATTTCTATGAACAGCCGATTTTCAACTCTAAAATCGTTAGAATCAAATTAATTTCAGCTACATTCAAAATGTTCTTCTTTTCCTTATACTGTAAACTTACACGCGAAAAATTAACTTTTCATTTGTTTGTGTTTTTCAAAGAGCTGCGCTGAAAAACTACATTTTGTCATATTTTTCATTTTGCCGGCTCTCAACCAGCTGATGCTTAGTTTGTAATAAAAATATCGAAACTCATAGGAAAATATGTTGATCTTAATATTTGTTTTAAGTTGTTTTCAAAATGCATCGCCAAACCGACACTACTACTATTTTTATGAACAAAGCTGTAAATATCATACATATATATAACATATATATATTCATCAGATTATATATATATATAAGCAACATATATAAGATATATTACAACTTAAGCGACACCTTACTTTATATAATATGCTTAGCATGTGCTTAGCAAGAGTTCCAAAGGCAAAAAGACATTTTCAAACTTGATTTCAGATGCCTTCATACCAGATACTAAATACTACATAACCAGATCGCTCTGAAGTTCACAAAATACTTTGATTTGATTTAAAGAATAGAGTTTTTTTTTTGGTTGTTTTGTTTTATTCGTTCTTTTCACATTACAAACTAATTTTAAACATTTTCGCTTTCGATTATCAAAAACTCAATGAAACTTAATATTTGAAATTGAATTAGCACGAAACAAAATACGTTGAGGAAGTGTTATTATTTAGTTTTCTTTACGTTTTCCATTAACCATTTTCCGTTTTCCATTTTCCACTGCTTGTCCTCTGCTTTAGTGTTAAGTTTTGTAATTTTTAAATTTACAACACGCACAATATTTGGGTTTTTTTTTTTTTGTTTTTGCTTAGATTTAATGGAGAATATTTTTCAGAAGCTGCTCGTTCCGAATGGATTGAGTAGTTCTGTTACAGTTCTTAGAGTCTAGGGGGAATGTGTGTTGCGTATTTACAAGAACATTTGATTTGGCTAGTTTCATTTAGCTGCCGCGTGCCACATGCCGCTGCCAGCTCCAGTTATCGTTAACAAATATCAAATATTAAATATATCAATCAAAGTGCCAAGCTGCTGTTGTTTTCTTTTGGACGGCTATTGCAGAAATATGATAAACCTGGCCAAAACACTGGCCAAAGCCAAAATGAAAAAAAAATGGAAAGTTGCTTTGCGTGTGCCGCAGCTGTTCCACTTGGCCTGGATCGAACGCCTTTGTATGCAAATTAGCTGCCTGTGAGAAGCTCTCGTGCAGCTGTCAAGCCAGAGACTTGCAGAAAGAGAGAGAGAGAGGCGCAGTCCATGGACTTAAGGCCTTATGAGTCATATGGTCTTGTTTGTTGCATTGTCTCTTTCTTTGCCTTTGTCTTTTGCTGGCTTGCATGCATGCAGTTTGCGGTTTGTTGCACACCTTTCGTGTTGCTTTTCCATTTTTGGCCTGTTTTTGTATGCTTTTTTGCCTGTTTCGGCTACAAATTGTTGGGTGTGAGCTGTGCGGCCTTTGTGACTCAAGCTTTAGCAAAATTAGCATAAGCAAATGATTATTATCTCTGCACAGGCCACAAATGTGGAATTTGAACATAACAATCAGCTCGAGTCTGAGGTGCTTTACAGAGGCTTAAAGCTGCTTTAGAAATTTTCCAGAATTAAATTGATCAATTTATTTCTGACTGGAAGTTCTAGACGTCTTTAAGAGCAGCAAATCACTTAAACTGAGTAATTTTGTAAGAAATCATATTGTGTTTTTCACTAGCTTAGAGAGTGAGGACAAAGGGTTTAGAAAAATACAATAAATAATAATTTTAAAATATTTTAAGTAAAATATAAATTAATTTTTTAATTGAAAATCATAACAAAATATTCAACAGATAAATATTAATTATTAATTAATAGATAAATCAATTTTAATCATTTTTTTAAAATTGAAATCCACATTTTACAAATAAATATTAACTTTAAAATATTTCAAAATAAAATCTAAGTTAACACTTTAATGAAATTGATAATTTGATATTAAACAAATAAATATAAATTGTTAATAATGTTTAAAATTAAATGTATATATATGTATTTATAGAAATATTTGAGAGTTTCTCACTCTGCTGAGCTCTTTGGCTATTGCACACTGGAGTTACTCGTACAGCTTGACAGCTTGGCTTAGTTATATTTTTCATTTCATAAACTTTAATCTCTTCTATGGTTTTGGTTTCTTCAACAGTTTCATTTGATATTTACAGCTAGTATTTATGTGTTTTGCTTGGGCATTGAATTATTCTCTTAGCTCAACTCTTTTTAGCCCTTTCGAACAGCTTTGGAATTTACTAAATGGGCTGGCTTTACAGTTCTTAAGTCTAGTTGACTAATGTATTTAGGTGCTTGCTTACTCTATTAGTTATAATTTATGTTTGTTATTAATTGATTTTGCTTTTTTAGAAGATTTCAAATATGTAAGTCGAAGTGAGGTGCATTTTATACAATTGAAATATGATTAAAATTTGATATGCTCTAAATGCAGTTCAATCTTAGGAGGGATAACATAAAGAACTTTTAAGTTTCGAAAAATCATAGTCAATTCGATTAGAATTAGAATTAGAATTAAAAAAATATATCTTACAGAGTTTTTCCCTTTCTCCAATTTAACACCAACTGATGGACTAATCTTTACACTAAATGAAAATTATATTTCCATTATTATTTTTCATAGATTTTTCATTTAATTTAACATTTTACGTAAACTTTTTTTTAATTATTTTCTTTTCTTATCTGTTGTTTTCTCTGACTTACATTTAACACTTAATATTTACAAAATGTTTAAGTTTTACTTAAATGCTTAGGTTGAGTAGTTTTTTCCGTCTCATGTAAATAGTATTTAGTTACATAAGAAGTTTTTGAGTATTTCATGTGTTTTCGTATTATTTTTCTAATTTTGAAAGATTTTCGATTAGTTTTTTCCATACACATCGATTGAAAGAAAGTTTTTTTAGTTCTTTTTTAATTGTGTGTAGATTTTTTCTATGAAATTTGGCATAGGATATGTTCTTTTTTTTGCTTTTACACTTGAATTTCTGTTGCTTGATGTCAAGTTGCTGCTGCTGCTGCTGTACTTAAGCAAGACGGAAGTGGCCAGCAATGCGAGTATCTACTGTACCTAGTTAACTTCCAATACAGTCGGGTGGCCAGCTCCAAGATCCAACGACGCCGCAGAGTAGCAGCACAGCTGGCAGCAGCGAGATGAGATGTGAGGGTTGTCTCGAGTCAGCTGCACCTGCAAAATAAATATGTAAATAGATCAGTTTCTCGATATTACTAGATAACGCAGTCTTCTTCTTCGCGCTTGTTATACCAATTGTGCTCGACTTGGCTGCCACAGTTTCGCGAGACTCCAGAGCTGGTGCCCGCTGTTGGCGATCGCTCTCCACGCTCTCCTCGTTGCTCTGCCAATAGAGCGAGCTGATCTTGGCCACGCACTGCAGTTGGACGCAAAGTTAGTCAAGTTCTTAGCAGTTATTGAATTGTTTTACCTTAAGTTTCATATCGCCATTCTTGAAGTGAAATCCACGCACTCGAAACTCCAAGCCCAGTCGCGCCATCTCTAAGCCATCTCGATTCATCACAATCTTGTCGTACTGCTTGAGATGCTGCTTCTGCGCCGGCTCCCCATTGATTAGCCAGCTCAGGTGGCAAACTGGCTTCGACGGTGCCGAGGTGCAATTAACGCGCACAATGTCTCCGATTTGATAGCGCGGCTGCCCACCAGATATCTTCGGCCCATGATTCGGTGTTACTGCAACAGAGAGAGAGAGAGAAAGGCTTGCTTAACTTTTTCCAACAAGAGGTCAGGCCATGAAATAATATGTATCGCAATTGAATTAAGGGCAAAAGCTGAAAGTGGAGAGACGAGCGAGTGGAAGACTGGGAGTCACACACGCTTGCATAATTAAGTCAGGGCTTGAGTGGCCCCTCACATCGAAGAGCCATCAACTAGGACATCAAAAAGCCTTTAACTGTAATTACATACATATGTAAGTATGCCGCATGCTTTGCCATTGTCATTGTACAGTGGAGCAAAGCGAGACAAATGCGTTGAAAAAAAGAAAATTGATTTAGCGGCAAACGAGTACCAAAAGGCACTTAAGAGACCTAAAGCAAAGTAATTCTGTTGAGCTAAAGACTGGAGGTCTGAATATAAATTTAGCTCAGTGAAACGTTTAAGAATAAGGCGAGAAAAGAGATGAGAAAGGTGTTTAAGTGTAATGAGAAAAAGGGAGAGAAAAGAGAATAGAATAGCTAAAGTATCGAAAGTAGATTCTTCTTTTCTTTACGAATATGGTGTGAAAAGAGCATAGAGGAACCGAATAGAAGAATAGAGAGATGTAAAAAGAGAATATCTAAAAAGCAGAAATAATATTCTCGTTACATTTACGAATATGGCGCAAAAAGTCATAAAAAAAAATATTAAGCATCACACCAAGATTATTGATTGAGCACTCGAAGAAGGAGGAATAGAAAAGAGAAGATAATAGCTGAAGAATCAAAGGTATTTTCTCTCTTCATTTACGAATATGGCATGAAAAGAGAAATGGAAAATTAAAGTAAAGAGTACATCTAGTAAGTTGTATACGTACGCTGAGCAGAAGGGGGAGAGAAGAGAAGAGAATAGCTGAAGAGACAGCAACAGTGTCTTCTTTCCTATACGAACATGGCACGAAAAGTAGTCGCAATACTAATGAAACTGGAATGTACTACGAAGCTCCATAATATAAAAAGCATAGCTCTAGTATAATAATTATGCTAAAAGCTGAAAACTTTTACTCCAATTCGATTACGGGGCGTAACGCTGACCTACTTTCCTAGCTAACTCCTTTCCATAACAAAAGCTCTATAATTAGTTTGTTTCAAATTTTCTAATGTTATTTGACCCATTGTTGCGGCGCACGTGTGCATTTAACTCAGGTTCTTTTAGTAGCTACGTTAGCTGCTGATTGGGAGTGAGACAGAAAGATATTTATACAAAGGGAAAGAGCGAGAGAGGTAGGTAGAGAGTAAGTGAGAGAGAGAGTATGTGCTCTAAGCGCAGTTATTTAATTTTAATGAGCCAAGGAAATTGAAATATTTTGTTGCTCTGCACTAGCCGGGCAGCTGGGAAGTAGTCCTTTAACGGAGGCCAGTTGGCTGTTGGCTGTTGGCTGTTGCCAGTTGGCGAGTTCCTTTTGCGCATTTTGCTTTATTACTTTACATGCAGCTTCGCCTATTTGGTTTACTTTTGTGCCCGTTGCGTGGCCATAATGAAAGCCATGTGGATGGATGCTGGGCGAATGGGGAATGGGCATTGAGGATTGGGGCATACTTAAGATTTATGTTGAGATTTGTGCCAGTAAAATACAAAACATGCCGCACAGACCTACACAGCGACGAGTCCATTTTATATACGCATACGAAATGCTTATTCAAAGTTTATTTTAGCGTGTATGTGGAGGCGTGTTTTTGGTGTTGTTGTTAAGCCAGCTGGCTATGGCTATGGCTATGGCTATGACTACGGCTATGACTATGGCCATGGCAAGGACTAACGCCCACAACCACTCGGCCACACTCGCGCGCTCATTGCTTAGCGCTTTTGGGCATATACGGGCGCAAGAAAAAAAAACAAGCAACGAGAGTGCTAGACTAGGAAATACCCTAAATTGCAATAGATATTCAAGCATACTTAGATAAAGATTCTAAATTTCACATTTCAAAGAACCTATCTATGTTTAACGCTTAAAATATTTTAGATTTACTTTAAATGCTAAATGTTGCTATATAATTTAATCGATTTTTATCGATTTCATGAAAAGTTATCGATGCTTGGAAATAATAAGAAATAAATAAGCTAAACTACATAATCTCTTAGTCCAAAAGGCTCACCGACGGAATCATTCATAGCAATTTTCGGAATCGTGATCAAGATTGAGCACATATATAATTAGCCCACTTTCATCTGTTACATATATACGCAACAAAACATGCTACCCTGTTTAGCCATATGGCAGTGGAGGTGCGGCGTATAAAAAGGCACAAAAATGGAAAGAAAGGAATCAAGTCAAGTGTGGCGCCCCCTGGCGTCCAGTTAACGCCCACTGTGAGGCAGCGGTGACGCAGTCAAGTGTTTGTATGCATTATAAATATACCATGCCAAAACCAAAGAGATCCAAGCACAGAGAGAGAGAGGGGGCGGAACAGGGAGAGCGAGAGAGAGAGAGGGGGAGAGACGGAAGGAGAAAGATTCAGCTCAGCTCATTGTGCAATAAAAAGTGGCGTAGAATTTCTTGCTTCATTTTAGCCAGCCTCTCACAAATTTCATAACATTTGCTGTGTGTGTGGGTGTGGGTGTGTGTATGTGTGTAAGCTCTTCCATAAAATAAAATTAATTTTTAATGGTTTTCAAAAAAAATTAATTTTCTTTAGCAGCTGGAGTTGGGCGTGGTGTGGGGTAGGGGCGAGTTTTTGTTGTGGCTTCGCTGACTGTGGCACACATGACAGGGACAGAAAGCGAACCGAACCGAACCCGTAGCCAGATATAGGTTTTAGGTTTTGCAGAGAGGATATGTGCTTAGTCGCACAGCTATAGCTACAGTTGTAGCTGGGCTACGTTGCTTATTTGTAATTTATAAAGTGAAGTTTACTTTACTTGCTCATTTTTTTTAGTCAGAACTTCAATTTAGTGTGGCTCTCGCTGTGTGTGTGTGCGGGTGGGTGGTAAGTCGACCTGCTGGCTATATGGATAATATGAAGCTTTATAAAATATGACCAGACACACATATGTATGAAAATGGCACTCGGTATAAATGCGTGCATATTTAAATGGATGGCAATTGCATTTGGCTTGTAAATTGCATTTCTGTTTGACTTCCACTTCCATGAGATTTGTATTTATCAAAAAAACGAAAGAAAAAATTGTTTGAAAATTAAATTGAAAGAAAATTGTGCCACATGCACGCATACACACACAATGCACTGGGTTACAGATATTTGGGCATTTAAAATGCAGCTCGGATCGTATACAAATTTCCTGCAAAGCATTTCAGTTCACAAAACTTTGATTCCCTTCAAAGTAACAATTTTAGCCTATTATTCTTAGCATTTGCTAATAACTATCCAAATATCAATTTGAGTGCATGTTTGAGGGGATGCCTTTGAAAAAACTGAGAAATTTTAAATAAAGCAGAGACAGCCCTGCTGCTGAGCGAGTTATTTTCTGCCTACTGTTTACATTTAATTTAACACGTTTTATTTTAGTTATAAATCATTGAAAATTACTCTAAATTGGTTCAGATTTAATTTCGTATATTTTTCTTTTATTTATTATTTTTTATAATATAACTTTATACATCAAGTATATATATTTAACGAAACTTGTCTGCTGAGAAAATCGGCTTGAGAAAATTTAAGTGATTTATTTTGATTCAGTTTCCTTTTTATATCCATATATATGTAGACATATATATAATATAGAGTTATTTCTTACATTAATTGTAATTTTATTAATTTATATCTTTTATTATATATTTTTTGATGGAGCATATAAGTAAATTAAATTAAAAAAAATAAATCAGTACTCAAATTTTATTATGTGTATGTGATTTATTTTCATTCAAAATTATTTTATTTAAATTAAAAATAATTTTTTTTTAAATTATATATTAATATATATGCATATATGATTTAAATAAGTATATTTATATATATATGATATTCCTAATTTTCACATTTGTATGCCAATGTTTTAATAAATATTTATATACTTTATATAAATATATTAATATAAATTATTATTTTTAATTCATATTAAGCACAGTTTTTTTTCTGTTCTTTATTTTTAATTGCATTCAATTTTTAAGCGATTTTTCGTTGTTTTTTTTTAATTTAATTAATTAAATTATTTATTTTAATGTCAATGTTTTCTATTATCATTTTTATATCTTAACATGCGTATATATATATATATATATATATATATATATATATATATATATATATATATAAATATATATACTTTATTTGTATATTTTTATAATATTATAATACGTATATATACTACAGACACGTAACACTCCTTATTTATATTTAACACCTTACTTTTCTGTACATATATTTAATATTTATTTATTTCACACTCTTTGTCTGGCTGTTCAGATCAAAGACCTTTTCACACACACACACACAAGCACACCTCTGGGCAGTTGGTCTGATAATTGTTTTCATATTATATGGCTATTTTTTAAGCCAACGCCATATTGTCGCACTTTAGTTTTATTTGTCGCATAAATCTAAAGGCGCCCCGCAGCACACACACCACACACCACACACACAGAGACATGGGTGTGTGCGTGGCTAGTGTGTTTGCAATTTATTCTGGTAAAAACTCAGCACGCAACGGCAACAACAACAAACAACAACAACAAGAATATTTTGGACCTGCGGCGTCGGCTGGCGTAGAGAGGGAGGAGGCAGACTCAGAGTCAGCGGCAGGAGAAGGCAGTAGCAGGGCGCGGACAAAGCCCAGAGCCCGACCATGTGGCCTGGACGAGCTGGCTGCAATAAGCCGAGCGCTGACTGGGGGCAAGCAGCGAACATGGAACATGGCTCAAGTATATTTCAAGCATTTTCCTATGACTAAGCAGTTTGGTTATTTTTTTCTACTTCTGCTTTTCTTTTGATCGCATTTTGGCTGCTCGTTTGCTACCTTTTGTGCAGCCAAAAAGAAAAGCAGCGCAAGATGGAAAATCCTGGCGGAAAGGTGAAAAA